GGTTGAACTAGATTTGAACCTGTACTAGGGTTAACCGTAGAATCTACACTTGTCCCCTCTAGCTGCGCTTTCATTTGTAAAAATCTAGCTTTATCTCTAGGGTATGTTTTTATGTGCCTAGTAAAACTACCCGTGCCGCTACGGTCTCCGGTATATTTATGCGCCATTAATTTCCTACAAGTTTTACACTTAGCCTTATTTTGTTCTCTTACTTGAGTAAAAAAAATTCTAAACTAATGATGTTTCTAGGCGTTTAGCAGGTTCTCTATTAAAAGTAGGAGTTTCTACAGGTGGGTCGGCCGGTGCATCAGTTGGGTTATTAACAGGACTAGTAGGTGTATCATCTAAATCCGGTGCTTGGGTTTCATCATCATCCTCATTTTCCTCATTATTTTCTGAGATAGTTTCATTAGGATAAAGAGCATTCATAATTTCATCATCTAATCTTTCACCTGGTGCAACATTATGGCAATATTCACAATCGATAAATTGAAAACAAGGGTGATCACTATCAAGAATTACGGGAGGACGTCTAGGTTGGCGACTACTTTCAACTTGCTTATCTTTTCTAGGTTGGGGAGCTGGGGGAAGGGTTGTTGGTTGACCACTACTTTCACCGATTTTATCTTTTCCCTTACCAAACATTTTTTACAAAGAAAATGCCATATTAATTACAATTATGCAAACTAAAACACACAAAAATATATTCTTAAAACTTAAGAGTTGAAACGAGTTTACCGGATTGCCGAACAACTTCTTGAAAATTGAAAATCGTTGAAGACTTGAAGACTTCAATTCACTAACTTCACAATTTTTTACGAAGTTTCAACAATAAAATAAGCAATTCTAGTAGAGAGATTGAGAGAAATTGCTGAATTGGTGAGTAAAAATGAAAGAATTAGGGGGGTATTTATAGTTGAGAAATGGGGAAAAGTGTAATTATATAAAGTTTGGGGGCCAAATGGCTATTTTATAAACTACCAAACGGTCAAAAAAAGCCCCAAACGGCTACTTTTTAAATATGGCCGTTAGGTTGTTTTTTTTTAAAAAAAAAAATTTAAATTTTAGCCGTTAGGCCCGCTAGGCCCGGACCAGGCCCACCAGCCGGTCCCGGGCTAACCGGTCCCGGGCTCGTGGGCTTAACATGGAAGACCAGCCCGCCTCGGGCTTTAAGGGACCGTTAGGACCAGTCCACCAGGACCGGCTCGTTAGGCCCGTTAGGACCGCGGGCCCGGTCCGGTCCGGTTCAGGACCGGCCCACAGTGCAGCATTATTGATACCTAGTTCCATAATTACAGCTTGACTTTGATTCTTACCTTATTATTCTGCTTAGTTTCAGACTATATATATGCTCTCTCATTAACACAAAAACACACAAACACTTGGGTTCAAAAAAACTATTTCTCAAACTTTAAAATTTCTGCTCTCTCTTGTGCTACTTGCTACTGCTCTAAATTAGCCGGCTGCAAGCCAAGGCTAACTATTTGTGTTCTCTTGTTCTTTCACTCTGCTTACTATCCTCTTTACTGGTATGTCGTAGTGTCAATTCAAAGTTCCAACAACAATATGATTCTCTTATTACTTCAGTTCCTCTTGTTTCTGGTTTGCTTTTATTTGTGGTTCTATTGTGAAACTTGTAGTTGAGGGTTGCATTATAGCCTGTTATCATGTCTTGCCCTCCCCTTGAAATCAGTATATTTCCCCTTCTGTTTGTCTCTGAGCATAGACACTAATCATCTCTTACTTGTTATATGTTTACCACCATGTATCTCTCAAATCCCTATCCTTTTTGCATGCGAGTCTGTTCTTTATGTCTGATTTTGTGGCTATGTCTAGTTAGCTACTTCTAGGTATGACTACTAATTCCCAGGTCTTTGCTTAACTATGTATGTCCTATGTATTCCCGACCCCCCTTTACCTGTTTGTGACTACCAAACCTACCTTGATGCTATGACTCCTGGTTGTGTATGAACCTATCCTAAGGTGTTTGGACTTTGTTAACTACTCCAATCTCTTTTTCAAACAATCTTTGTTGCTTTACTGTTACTTTCAAAAAGACTTTTTCTTAATACAGTTTCTTACTAAAACCTTTCAACTTGTGTCCATCACTTTTCACTCTACTCTTAGTCAATAAGTTCTGCGCCTTCTAGTATGTGTACTGCCTTGGGATCCTTTTGAGAACCCTCTGAACTCTGGCATATTGAGTCTGGCCCTTCCACACTGCACTTGTTCAATTCTTGGTTACTAAGTCTATGTGTAAGCACTGCCCGGGATCCTTGAGATCCTTAGGGAACTTTGATGCACCTAGACTCTGATTTGTCTATGGAATTGAGGCATATGAGGCCATTGGAGGCTTTGGGAAATCTGGGCCTGATTGAAGGCTCCCTATAGAATAACTTCTTATTTTTCTATTTTTATTTATGTAATTCATTCATTGTCCTGTAATAATTTGTAAACAGATATTGTGGTATTTAGTAAAAAGGGTGGGTAGATGCATACTTTATAGGGTAATACGGGCAGAAACATGCTCCTAGGACCTTACTTTTAAAATCTATTTGCTTTACTAAATAGAAAACATGCTCATAGGACTTTACTCTTTAATCTGATTGCTTTGCCAAATAGAAATCATGTTCATAGGACTTCACTTTTAAGTTTGTTTGCTCTACCAAATAGAAGCCATGTTTATAAAGTTCTACATCCTATCACGCCCAGAAACCATGCCTATAGGATTCGGATAATTTCGTAATGATAATCATGTTTTTAGTTTCTTAAATCAGTTTAATAATAGATTCCATGCCTATAGGACCTAGTCCAAGTTCAGTTACAACGAGTTTTTATGTATGTTTCCATACTGCAATCGCTAAAATCAGTATTACGCTTGGATATCATGCCCATAGGGAGCCTTACTCGCAATTATGTCTGTTAATCTGTTTTAGTTTAACTTAGTCACGCCTAGTTCATTTTTGAATTAGTTTTTTAAATATTAAGTATTTCCCGAAACAAGTTCTTTCAAACTGCCTCGATCTCATTAGATATCATGCCTATAGGTATTAAAGGAATCCATTTCAAAACCTTCTTTATTTCTGTGACATCAGTATTCTGTGTATAGGCAAGCCTTTATGGCGTTTTTCAAAACTGCATTCCGGAAAACTGTCTCTACTGCTTAATGTTTTCCGATCCTAACAGGCTTTAAAGAGAGTCCATATGCAACTGCAAGGGTATAACTTCTGAGTCTAATAGAGGTTGTTTGTCTTCTGCATGTTCACTTAGATATCTTGCTTTCGAACATTGTCTAATAAAGGCCTTAACTATGCTTGAGTCGTGCTGCTTACGTGTTTGTTTGAGGAGGAAATTCTGAGCCTCTAAATTTCTCCTTTTGTATGTTGAAAGTCCTAAATGTTTTTGATTGTCGCCTTAGAATTTTCATCTTTTACAACCTTAGGGGTACGTCTAGAACCACCTATATGTAGAGGTCCTAACTCCCTCCAGGACTATTAATAAGGGACGGGTAGCAACACGCAATAGAAATAGTTGTCCAAACACTCGCTTTGCATGACCAATAAGGGGATGGGAAGGGTAGATACGGTATATGATGACTACACGCTAATGTCACGTGTAGCCCCTCAATGAGGAGTGTTTACCGGACATTGTGTGGGGTGATCCTATAGGATAACCAACCTAGACCCCTCTTTACCAAATCCTTTCTTTATTTAGGCCTTTGTTTTACAAACTTGTTCAAACCTTTATCTTACTACTTGAGTTATTCTAACGTGCTTTACTTGCAACCTATCTGCTTCAACTATTTACTTGTAATGGACTAATTTGTGAATATAAGTTCAGTCGGGACTCACAGTTGTGGATCAAGAGGGGTGCCTAATACCTTCCCCTCAAGGTTACTTCGAGCCCTTACCCTATTCTCTGGTAATGCAAACCAACCCAAGAGTTAATCGTTCTAGGTGCCCTAACGCACCATAATCTGTTAGGTGGCAACTTTTCAAGTACCCAATTCCTAAAAGGAAATGAGTCATTACACTCCGTGAATGTCGAAACCCGGACTTCTTCCAGTAAAAAGGGAAGAAAAAGGGGGCGTGACAACGGCTTGTAG